GCATCCCCCTCGGCAAAGCCACGGTGGGGCGCTTTCCGTGTGGCGAGGTGCGCCCAGAGTGCAAATGGGGGTTTAGGGTTTAGGGTTTAGGGTTGAGGGTTGAGGGTTTAGGGTTTAGGGCTTAGGGTTTAGGGTTTAGGGTTTAGGGTTCAGCATCTCAAGTCCAAGCATTCACTAGTCAAGAAATTACTCCAGAAAAATACCCACCCGCCCAAAGAATCCCACGACATTAAATAAAAATATTTCACTTATGGAACGACCTTGCCCAGTAAAAACATGACCTTGCCCAGTAAAAAAATGACCTTGCCCAGAAAAAAATAACCTTGCCCAGTAAAAAAATGACCTTGCCCAGTACAAAAATACCTTGCCCAGTAAAAAATGACCTTGCCCAGAAAAAAATGACCTTGCCCAATAAAAAATGACCTTGCCCAGTAATGACCTTGCTCAATAAAAAATGACCTTGCCCAGTAAAAAAATGACCTTGCCCAGTAAAAAAATACCCTTGCCCAGTGAAAAAATGACCTTGCCCAGTAAAAAAATGACCTTGCCCAGTAAAAAAATGACCTTGCCCAGTAAAATGATCTCCTTGCCCAGTAACATTTTTATTGGGCAAGGTCATTTTTTTACTGGGCAAGGTCGTTTTTTTTGCACGAAACGACCTTGCCCAGTAAAAATATAACCTTGCCCAGAAAAAAATGACCTTGCCCAGTAAAAAAATGACCTTGCCCAGTAACTCCTTAACATTTAAATTATATATGAAAGAGAGGTTTAGGGTTTAGGGTTTAGGGTTCCTAGTATAGTCCTCCAAGTAGTAGGACTCAAGGTACTTCTAATTTCGGGATCCCCCAAATGTAAATGTGGACTTAGGGTCTTAGGGATTAGTTTAGGGTTTGAGGGTTTTAGGGTTTAGTTGGGGTTTAGGGGTTTGCGGGAACTCTGATCAAGGTGAACGTGGTGCTGAACGAGTCCGTCCGTGACTGCGACGTGTTCATCATTCAGCTGGAATCTCATGGAGTCTCATGTTTGCGTGATATCACGTTCCTTTTTACTCCTAGCAAGTGCCAAGACAACATATGGGTATTTCGCTTTTGTGGTCCCCGAATTATATAGCACGGCACCCGTATCAGAAGGACCCCAAAATTTCGAAGATTACCCATATGGGCACGTTAAGAATCTGAACTGGACAGTTGCAAGTTTCAAGTCGGTTAGGGTTTAGGTTTAGGGTTTAGGGTTAAGGGTTTAGGGTTGATATGTCAACCCGAGTAGCGACGGGACGCAGCTAGGCCGAGGATGGGCTCCGGGTGCAGAAATTTCTGGGGTGTAGGGCTTTTCGGGATGCAGATGTCAGAGATCTGCAAGAGTTCACGTGCGTCGCCGTTCTTGGGAAGGCGCCTGATATCTCAACCCTAAACCCTAAACCCTAAACCCTAAACCCTAAACCCTAAACCCTAAACCCAGCATTGTGGCTCGTCATGGCTTTGGCAAGTCCTTCCTAAGGAAGTATGGGGCAGCAGGCACGTTACATCCTCCTATGTACCCCGTTTAAGGGGATGTACCTAATTCCCTACTATGAATCAGTAGGTGAGTAGGCAGACTTTAAATTTGAAGTTTGAGTATATATGATACTTTCAGGGATGTACCCAATTCCCTACTCAGAATCAGTAGGTGAGTAGGTGGACTTCAAATCTGAAGACTCACTGAAGACTCTTCATGTCCACGCCACACGTAGAATTTCAAGATGATCCCTCCTCACAGGGCAGCATGAAGCTGCTACCACTCAACAGCATAGCTAGGGTTTAGGGTTTAGGGTTTAGACTTCAGCAGCTCCGGATCGAGGAGTTTATAGTAAAGATATATGTACGGCTAAGAACACCCACCCACCCACCCAGAGAATCCCATAATATTCAGAAAACAAAGCTTCCAAGGCCTATGCTTGAAACAAACGGACGCAACAAAAACACCTAATTTTGTTAACCTCATTTTCTTGCCATTGCATCTCTTGCGCTGGCCTTGCCCTAAACCCCAGGCCTTGAGGCCCTGAAACCCTAAATTCCAGGCCTTGAGGCCCTGAAACCCTAAACCCCAGGCCTTGAGGCCCTGAAGCCTAGACCCCAGGCCTTGAGACCCTAAACCCCAGGCTGCGCACGAAACGATTGGCCTTGAACCACGAACAGCTGGCCATGAGCCACGAATTTTTGGCCATGAGCCACGAGTTTTGGGCCATGAACCACGAGTTTTGGGTCATGAACCACGAGTTTTGGGTCATGAACCACGAGTTGTGGGCCATGAACCACGAGTTTTGGGCCATGAGCCACGAGTTTTGAGCCATGTACCACGAGTTTTGGGCCATGAACCACGAGTTTTGGGCCATGAACCACGAGTTTTGAGAGTTTTGGGCCATGAACCACGAGTTTGGGGCCATGAGCCACGAATTCATTCAGGTGTAAGTCATATAAAAGAGAGGTTTAGTTAGGGTTTAGGGCTGAGGGTGTTTTACGTGCGCGTCTGCCGAGCAGTTCTGGAGACATCGGCAATTAATTGTAAACCCTAAACCCTAAACCCTAAACCCTCGTTCGAGTCCCCAGGCCAACATGCAATGGCGGTGCAGGCCCTCAAGAGCACCTGGTTGCCGGATGCTCAGGTTTAGGGCTTAGGGCTTAGGGTTTAGGATGTAGCTATGAGATAAGGTTCGGCTGAGGTTGTGGACTGGTTTGGGGGGTGGTGGTGGAGGATCGTGGGCTTACTTGCTACTAAAACCCTAAACCACCCCAGACCCCAAACCATCACCCCAACCCTGAACCCCAAACCCGAAACCCTAAACCCCAAATCCTGAACCCCAAACCCTAAACCCCGAACCCTAAACCCTAAACCCTAAACCCTAAACCCTAAACCCTAAACTTCAAGCCTAAGGAGCTGCTGATCATGTTGGATGCCATCCGCCGCAAGCCTGGAAGGGCTTTAGGGTTTAGGGTTTAGGGTTTAGGGTTTGGGGTTTAGGGTTTGGGGTTTAGGGTTTGGGGTTTAGGGTTCAGGGTTTAGGGGTTTCGGGTTTGGGGTTTCGGGTTTGGGGTTTAGGGTTCAGGGTTTAGGGTTTGGGGTTTAGGGTTTGGGGTTTGAGGTCGAGGGTTTGGGGTTTGGGGTTCAGGGTTGAGGGTTTTGGGGTGTAGGTTTTTAGGGCCAAGGGTTTGGGGGTTTTCAGGGTTGAGGGGTTTCAGGGTCTTAAGGGTTTTACTGTAAGGGTTTCAAGGGCTTTAAGGGTTTAAAGGCTTTAACGGGCCGAGGAGATAGGGTGTTAGGGTTTAGGGCTTCGCCGCCACAAGAAAGGATCCCTCTGTCATGCTTCACACTTGGAGGTTCATGGCACTTATTAACCAATCATAACTGTACTCATAACTGTACTTGTAGCTGTACTTATAACTGTACTTATAACTGTACTCATAACTGTACTGATAACTGTACTTATAACCATATTAGGGCACTTAAGGGGCTTATGAGTGGGTTATAAGTATGTGCCCTCAACTTGGGGATGTTCCCCCTTAGACTAACAACCCTTAATAAGGACTATAGTACCCCTAAACCCTAAACCCTAAACCCCAAACCCTAAACCCTAAACCCTAAACCCTAAATGGTTAGTCAGTACTATGAACCTCCAAGCAAGGTCGAGGTGCTGCAAATCGGGTGACAGCCTCGCACCTAGCAGAGCTCGCAGAGCCTAGCAGGATTTTAGGGTTTAGGGTTTAGGGTTTAGGGTTTAGGGTTTTTAGGGTTTAGGGTTTAGGGTTTAGGGTTTAGGGTTTAGGGTTTAGGGTTTAGGGTTTAGGGTTTAGGGTTTAGGGTTTAGGGTTTAGGGTTTAGGGTTTAGGGTTTAGGGTTTAGGGTTTAGGGTTTAGGGTTTAGGGGTACTGCATCCTGCTGGTTCATGGTCGGGAGTAAGAGTCTTCGGTGCCTTACATGCCGGTGCAGTTTTCCTCTTGGGGCCTTCCTCTTGGGTAAAAGCTCGTAGCACGTCTCAGCAACAAAGGGAGACTTGTTTAGGGTTTAGGGTTTAGGGTTTAGGTTTAGGGTTTAGGGTTTAGGGTTTAGGGTTTAGACTTAAGACCCACAATCAAAGCTTCGCAACGAGGCCATCATTCCTTTGTACGGCTTCGCGCGGCAGAACGCGAAGGTCGCTCTCCTGTGCCCTCTATTCTACATGGGTACTCTTAGAAACTCTTGATGTTGACATGTTGCCAGCAGCATGCTCTCTCTGTATGCACGCACATTGAAGCTCTACATCCACTGGGCAGTTGTGTCAGCTTGTGGTAGCCATAAAGTGCGTGCCAAAGTGTCTGGGTTTAGGGTTCCCTACACCCTAACCCTTAAACCGCGCTTGCAAGGAGAAAAGCCGGTCACCCATCTCTGCGCGACTCGTGACGGATCTCTTGCAGGTTCCCAGTAGATTCGGAGCTCTGGGGCAGTTCATGAAATCGGAGACCTCCCTTAAACACCCCTCAACAAAAAACAAAAAGCCACGGGCCTTCGGGCTTGGAGTTTATGGGTTACCTTAGGGTTTCGATCTGGGCGTCCCGTACTTATAACCCACTCTTTAGTGCCATGAACCTCCAAGTAGTCCCAGCGTAATCCCTCCTTATAGTAAGAATCCCCAAAGTAAGTACGCTAAGTTTGTGGGAAGCAACACGTGCGAGGGGCTTGACCCCTTCTTTACACCCAAGTTCCTTACAGTGCTATCTTTTTTGAGAACCCGAACAAGGGCACCCTTATTTTGGGAACCCAAGCTAAACCTTAAACCCGAAGCCCTAAATCCTAAATCCTAAACCCTAAACTCTAAACCCTATTTTGTGAACCCCCAGATCGTGGCGCACCTGGGAGGCATCAGAGAATCAAGGGGTGTTGTCTCCTGCATGAGCAGCCCACAACCCTATAAGGGTTCAGGGTTTAGGGTTTCCGATATTAGAGGTGCCTGATTGGGATCCTTTTTCTCAGGGAATCCTACCATTTGGGGTCTACATGAGGGGTCCCGTATTTTCGTAAACTCCTAAATGGACCCTAATCCCGAAAGACCCTTAGCGGCATGAGCAGGTAGCCGGAGCTCACAGAGTTGTGACCATCGAGCTGCACGCAAGCCAGATTCAGGCGGATCTGAGACACACAGGGATACACAGGGTTTGAGGTGTTGGGCTTGTTTTGGGGTTGTTTTGGGCTTAGGGTTTTTTGGTTGGCAAGATCCAGTCACGTGATAGTAGTAGAGCTGACACCCTAAAGCCCCAAACCCCACCACATGCCTTTGCCAGGGCACTTGTTGCCACCTGCTGAAACCTTAAACCCTAAACCCTAAACCCTAAATCCTAACAACAAGGACCTCGGGGCAAAGTCCATAAAACGGTTTCGTTCTGAAGTTGCCTCGCGACTTGCTGAAGCCTAAACCCCTTCAGCCGGTCGCTCGCGCTCGGAATGTCCGAAGACTTGCGTAAACCTCACAAACCCTGCAATATCCCTAAGCCCTAAACAAGTCCCCAAAAACCCCAAAATTGCCCTCACAAGCCCTAGGATAACCCTTCAACCCCCGAAATAGCCCGAACCCTAAACCCTAAACCCTAAACCCTAAACCCTAAACCCTAAACCCTAAACCCTAAACCCTAAACCCTAAACCCTAAACCCTAAACCCTAAACCCTGCAGGGGTTTGCCACGTTTCCGATTGACAACATCTATGCGCTGCACTTGGAGCTGGAGAGCTGAAGCCGGTCACGTGTTGTTACGGGTTTAGGGTTTAGGGTTTAGGGTTTAGGGTTTAGGGTTTAGGGTTTAGGGTTTAGGTTCTCCATCACTTGACAGATGGGCCTAGGGTGTGTAGGGTTTAGGGGGTTTAGAGAGCTTCGGGTTTAGAGGGTTTAGGGCTCCAGGACCAGAGTTTGGGCCTTTGCGGAATCAGACGTGCTTTGAGGCCTTGCCGATGCTTGCAAAGGAGGTTGAGCGCCTCATGCGGAAACGAGGCGAGGATCAAGACATGCAATTCCTTTGAGATGATGAGCACTTCTTAGGGTGCAGTTCCCTAAATGTAGGGCTCTGTGTCATAATGTGAACCCCGAATAGTTTAGACCACTGCCACCACAGGGTTTTGAGTTGAGTCGGTAACATTGCATGTTGGACGTAGCGTCAGTTGCTTAGGGTTCTTCGTATAGGGAATGTGGGACATCGGTATATCCCTTAAAGGGTCAAATAGGTGGAGATAAGGGACCGAACTTCCTACTTCCACACGTTCAACGAGTAAGGTAACGTCATTTGCCAGGCCTCACTGCCGAGGACATCGTTCCGGCCTGACAAGGGGTTAGGGGTTTGTGAATTTTGGGGTTTGGGTTTGTGGGTTTAGGGTTTAGGGTTTAGGGTTTAGGGTTTAGGGTTTAGGGTTTAGGGTTTAGGGTTTAGGGTTTGGGGACTCAGGGGCTCCAAAGCTTTGCGAAAATCTGTGTGGAAGTCTGGATACAGGCATGCGTCGTGTTAGAGCGCAAGTTTCCCTCTCAGCCACCTCACGTGCCTCCCTGGCCCAGAAGACAGCGTGACACTCCGTAAAAGAAGCTTTATACGGGGGGGTTTACGAAATCAGGAACCCCGAATATCCCTTTTTGTCACAACTCCAATCAGGTGCCCCCTAATTTCGGAACCCAATTCGACCTAAACCCTAAACCCTAAGCCCTAAACCCTAGACCCTAAACCCTAAACCCTAAACCCTAAACCGTTACAATAAGGACCCAATAAGGTACCCCTACTTTCGGAACATGGGCAGTTAATATGTTGGTCTCTTCTGTGTTCGCATGCGCTCTAGGCGCAGTGCGGGCATGCGCAGAGATGCCAGAGGTGTCCGCAAACATCGCAATAAGCATAACCAGCATTGGGTATTATACCCTAAAACCCCTTAAAAGGGTCCTTTATAGGGTTGATTATAGGGAATATATCGTCATTTTTGGCCTCGCCTCGCGAAGGATTCCGCATCCCGCGCTTTCGGCTCATTAGGTCTCGTTCTGTACTCGACATCATGCTCCCGCCTGCACATTTTTAAGGCTTGCGACGCTCTTTTCAGGCTTGCGCCGCTCCGTGTCGCGAAAACGCGGCAGCCGTCTACTTTCCTGTGTTTTGGCCTGTTGGATGGGTTCGCTTCGTGCGTTCCAAGGGGATCTGCATTTCGCGGTGCTGCAAACGGCGCTCTCGCTTCGGAGGGTGTTCCACTGTTACGGTCGACGCGGCCAGACGTACCATAGGAAGAGCATACCCCCCAAAAGGATCTGTAGTCTACGGAGAAGAAGCCGCATGCAACCGCATTGCTGAAGGTTGTGGTGAGCCCTGACGTGGGAGGCACAAAGCGGGCATCGGCCGTCCCGGCTCATTGAGGCAAAGCCTCAAACCATTGGCTATAGATTTTCGGTTTAGGGTTTAGGGTCCAGGGTTTAGGTTTTAGGGTGTGATTTTTAGGGGGGGTCCGAGCATCCGGGAAGAGGCGCTTGTTGGGGTTACTAGAGAAAGGATCGTATTGGGGTGGGTGGGGCTGGGGGGTATATTCGGGGACCCCTATCTTTCGGAACACCCTCACGATTTTCAACCGGTAATTTTTCCTCATACCTGTGTTTTTGGATAGTCATCATGGTAGCAGAAGCATTTCAGCCCGTACAGGTTGTATTTCTTCGGCTTTTGTGTTCTGGTAGAAGCGGAGCTAAGTACAGGTGCAGGAGTAAGAGTCGAAGAGGGAGTAGGAGAAGGAGTAGGAGTTGTAGCTGTAGTATGTGGTAGTGGTGGTGGCAGTGGTAATGGTCCGTTGGTGTCGTTAGTGGCGTTAGTGGCGTTAGTGGTGTTGGTGGTGTTAGTGGTATTGGTGTTGTTGGTGTTGTTGGGGTTATTCGGGTTATTGGGGTTGTTGGGGGTTGTTGGTGTTGTTGGTGTTATTGGTGTTGTCGGTGTTGTCGGTGTTGTTGGGTTTTTTGGGGTTGTTGGGGTTGTTGGGGATGTTGGGGTTGTTGGTGTTCTTGGGGTTGTTGGTGCTGTCGGGGTTGCTGGGTTTGTTGGTGTGGTTGGTGTTGTTGGGATTGTTGGTGTTCGTCGTCGCCGCTGCCGCCGCGCCCGCCGCCGCCGCCGCCGTCGTCGTCGTCGTAACGTCGTAACGTCGTAACGTCGGTCGTCGTGTCGTCGTGTCGTCGTCGTCCTCGTCCTCGTCCTCCTCGTCGTCCTCCTCCTCGTCGTCGTCGTCGTCTCGTCCTCGTCTCGTCCTCGTCTTGTCCTCGTCCTCGTCCTCGTCCTCGTCCTCGTCCTGGTCCTCGCCTCGTCCTCGTCCTCGTCTCGTCCTCGTCCTCATCGTCGTCCTTGTCGTCGTCCTCCTCGTCGTCGTAGTCGTCCTCCTCGTCCTCGTTGTCGTCGTGGTCGAGGTCGTGGTCGTGGTCGTCGTGGTCGTGGTCGTCGTGTTCGTGGTCGTCGTCGGCGTCGGCGTCGTCGTCGGCGTCGTCGTCGTCGTCGTGTCTGTTTGTTTCTGTCGTCGCCGTAGCATGACCTAGCATTGCGATGCACATTTTTCAGGTTGAACGCTGATTGGTATTGATGAGTGACTATACCCGTTCCCTCCTTCATGACAAGGTGATCCGCGCAATAATTTTGGAAGACTTGACCACGCCTCCGGGGGATCAGACTAGTCAGATGCAATCTTTGTTGCTATCCTTCGCGCAGTCCTACCGTAAGTTCTGAAACCCTAAACCCCAACCCCAAAACCCAAAACCCAAAACCCAAAACCCTAAACCCTAAACCCTAAACCCTAAACCCTCCCCCCCCCCCCCTCCTCCCTCCCCCTGTTTGCCTTTTCCTAAAGTCAGCCAGGGCATGGCCAAGATGCTGTGCTCGCCTTTGGCCATCTTCTCGCGCCAGCGGCGGCGCCCCAACGAGCCTGCAGAGGAGTGGCTTTTAGGGTTTAGGGTTTAGGGTTTAGGGTCACACTAGAGCTCCCAACTGTAAGCAGTGATTCGTCGTGGCTTTTGCCCTTCACTGGCCAGGTGGACCTAGTTGGCGAGGTGCAAGGCCCGTGCTGCTCTGCCTGTGCGCCCTTGTGTGTGCCACGCTTGCAGTGTCCGTCGTGCTAGCTTACGCCGGGCAAATACGCTGCATGTGCTTTCCATAGCTCCTCGTTTACAATCGCTTTCCAGGGCCCGGCCGGCAAGGCAAGTTGGAAAACCCCCCCGGGCTTAGAAAAAAGAAGTTTGTTTCCCGCCACTCAGCAATGCAGGGTTGTACCCTACAGAGCATCCGGACCAGGGAGGCTGTCCGAAGCTTTTCTTTTTTGGGGGGGGATGCGGGGGGCGGATTGGCGCTTCTTGCCCGACCCTCTGCGTCTGCAGCATGGCATCACGAGGAAACCAGCCGGCAGCTAATCGCCAAGAGCATCCAAGAACGTCTTGGCCATACAAGAGTCCGCACGGACTTGTTACTTGCAGCCAGCAACATGTGTGGCTTGTGAACAAGTCGGGTGAGACATGTGATGCCCATGATACAGTCCACCACGGGCAACTGCTGACCTGAAAATATACTAGCCCGAGATTACTGCGTTGCAGGTCAACTCCGCACTACAGCTAAAGCCCATTGCATTTGTCATGCTACCAGCGCAGGTAAAACCTGCATCGTCGTCGATGACATCGCTGACACTGCAGACACGCTTTGCCAAGCCGCAGACAAGCTGAAGGCCGCAAGACCGTCGGTATTCTGTAATACTCTGCGCATTGACATGTTGTACAAGTCTATGAGGATTTTGGAGGCGTTTTCCATAGTTGCTGCAGCAGCACTGAACTCGAAACCCTAGAACCTCCAGGCCAGGGGCGCTTCTGCTGTCGTTGGTGCAGTCGTCCATGGCATCCTCTCGGTGCCGTGGACAGCAAAGATGGCTTAATACGTGCTTCAACGTTCAACGCAGGTCTTATCTGAGGTGCTAAAGTTGTTTCGTCGGTTCGCTCGCTCGCTCGCTCGCTCGTTCTAGTATATAGTAGTAGTAGTAGTAGTAGTAGTAGTAGTAGTAGTAGTAGTAGTAGTAGTAGTAGTAGTAGTAGTAGTAGCAGTAGTAGTACTTGTTGTTGTGGTTGTTGTGGTTGTTGTTGTGGTTGTTGTTGTTGTTGTCCGACGCAGACGCAGCAGACGCAGACGCAGCAGCAGACGCAGCAGCAGACGCAGCAGCAGCCGCAGCAGCAGCAGCAGCAGCAGCAGCAGCAGCAGCAGCAGCAGCAGCAGCAGCAAAGAAGGTGGGGGATCCCAAAAAGTGATTAACACTTGGGAAGCTACCTACATAGACCCTACTAAACCTCAGCTGTGAGGCTGGGTTCTGAGACGGACACCCATTTTCAGGGATTCGGGCTAGAGTCGAGGGCACGCTGCTATTCACTGGCAAAAGTGTCCCAAGCCCTCTTGACCTCCAAGGACCCAGCTTGCGAGCTCATCATGAAGTCGCAACTGGAGGCCGTCTTTGCTTCAGCCCCAGTCGCCAGTCTTTGCTACACTTGCCTAACAGCTCGCAGCAGGGGTGTCCTGAGCACTGTACTCGTGATTTCGTGTACGGTTCACAGTGAGACCTGCTGGTGAGTTCCGAAGCAGCATCGTCGTTGATGACCTTTGTGCATGCTCTCCAATTGACCTATATAGTGCGGTATGTATGCAGCCGTGGTCATCTCCGACTTATGAGACGCCTACATTGACAAAGTCGGTCAACTGATTTGTAGCTGTGTAAAACGTGTAGTCAGCGTGTCGTCATCTTGGTGCATCTCCACGCTGAACTCCCATGCGCTGGCCTGCACGCAGCCAGTGAGCATCCTATTTCAGCGTGAGAGGCATCGGGAGCCACTGAACCTCCTCAAACTGAATGTGTTGCTGCGAGGTCAAAGGTGTCCGTCCAGGCATGTTGGTGGCACGCAGCCCAAGCGTGGTGTGTCTCCACTCTGAACTCCCATGCGCTGGCCTGCACGCAGCCAGTGAGCATCCTATTTCAGTGTGAGAGGCATCGGGAGCCACTGAACCTCCTCAAACTGAATGTGTTGCTGCGAGGTCAAAGGTGTCCGCCCAGGCATGTTGGTGGCACGCAGCGCAAGCATGGTGCATCTCCACGCTGAACTCCCATGCGCTGGCCTGCACGCAGCCAGTGAGCATCCTATTTCAGCGTGAGAGGCTTCGGGAGCCACTGAACCTCCTCAAACTGAATGTGTTGCTGCGAGGTCAAAGGTGTCCGCCCAGGCATGTTGGTGGCACGCAGCCCAAGCGTGGTGTGTCTCCACGCTGAACTCCCATGCGCTGGCCTGCACGCAGCCAGTGAGCATCCTATTTCAGCGTGAGAGGCATCGGGAGCCACTGAACCTCCTCAAACTGAATGTGTTGCTGCGAGGTCAAAGGTGTCCGTCCAGGCATGTTGGTGGCACGCAGCCCAAGCGTGGTGTGTCTCCACGCTGAACTCCCATGCGCTGGCCTGCACGCAGCCAGTGAGCATCCTATTTCAGCGTGAGAGGCTTCGGGAGCCACTGAACTCAAACTGAATGTGTTGCTGCGAGGTCAAAGGTGTCCGTCCAGGCATGTTGGTGGCACGCAGCCCAAGCGTGGTGTGTCTCCACGCTGAACTCCCATGCGCTGGCCTGCACGCAGCCAGTGAGCATCCTATTTCAGCGTGAGAGGCATCGGGAGCCACTGAACCTCCTCAAACTGAATGTGTTGCTGCGAGGTCAAAGGTGTCCGTCCAGGCATGTTGGTGGCACGCAGCCCAAGCGTGGTGTGTCTCCACGCTGAACTCCCATGCGCTGGCCTGCACGCAGCCAGTGAGCATCCTATTTCAGCGTGAGAGGCTTCGGGAGCCACTGAACCTCCTCAAACTGAATGTGTTGCTTGCGAGGTCAAAGGTGTCCGTCCAGTCATTATGTTGGTGGCACCCTATACCCTGAACCCTAAACTGGCCCTAAACCCTTTACCCTATGCCCTATAAACCCTAAACCCTATAAACCCTAAACCCTGTAAACCCTAAACCCTATAAACCCTAATCTGGTGCGCATCTTGTATCTCCTAACTTCCCTTCAGGTGACGGACACAATCCCGCTGGGCGACAAGCTTCATCGATGCCCGAAGCTAGAGGCCATCCCAAGCCAAAGGCGTCTCTACTAATTGATTAACCAGGATGGGGCTATTAGGCCCTATAATCCCAATAATGAACCCCATAAAGGGCCTTTTAAGGGATTGTAGGGTATGTTGGAAGAGCCCCGAATAGAATATAAAATTGATTCCTTATTAAAGGTAATATAGGGATTACTGTGTTTTATTCTTGTGGGTTCTTAAGCAAATAGCAGGTCTGTCTGCCCCCTATCTACACTTGCTGCCAAAGTGTCACTATAATATCATATTTTCTCTTTTGTTAATGTTCCATTGTTCTATTACATATAGACTGTCGCAGAATTACATCGTTATTGAATTATGGCAACTCACCATTTCGCCAGTTCTTGTTTTGTGCTCCGCTGGTGGCCCGACTGCTTCTGGCGCTCAGACATGCAACGCAATCGGCTGTCTAAGCAGCCTCGAGACTGCTTTTCAACTCGTCCTGAGCACCCGTAACTGTCTGGGTAACTGGCTTGGACGATGTATATGTATACAAAATATATGTATATATATATATATATATATATGTTTCTTCTTCATTTCTGTATGACTTTTCTGAGTCATATTACGTACTATTACAGCGTACACATATGTAGTATATTAGTATAATGTACATCTGCATATGTTAATAGGTATGCCTGGGCTGCCTGGGCATGGGTGCACTCTCCGCCAACAGGTCGTTTCGGTCGCATCGCTCCTGGCAAACGCTTTTTGGCTGCAGGGCGGTTGTTCACGCACGGCAGATGTTGTAGAACAGGTTCGGCCAGTATTTTCAAACCTTGTGCCTGCTGGGAACCCGCTACGTAGGCTCCGTACTGCCAGTGGAACTCCGAAAAAAGCCTTCAAATTTGAGAACTTGCCAGGGGAAAAGGCTCGCCCGGCTGGGCAGCACATGTCGGGAAATCATTTGCCATCGCACCGCCTTCCTAAGACAGTTTTTTGGTGCGTATAGATAAGGTTCCCTCTAGCGGGTGTCCTTTGGGGATACTAGTATCCAACACACTACCCCTAAACCCTAAACCCTAAACCCTAAACCCTAAACCCTAAACCCTAAACCCTAAACCCTAAACCCTAAACCCTCCATCAAATGATCCTCAGGCGATCCTGCGCATCCACTCGAGCCAGTCTGGGCCCCGGACTCTCTGCATTTGACCGCGAAATAAGCGCCAGGGTTTAGGAAATGGGGTCCCGCCCTCCACGGTTTAAGGCTTAGGGTTTTGGGTTCACGTAGGGTTTCAGGTTTAATTAGGGTTTAGGGTTTAGGTTTTTTTTTGGGGGGGGGAGGGGGGCCTTTAAGGGGATTCCATTCTATTTGAGGTATGCAAGGGGTATCCCTATTTTGGGAAATGCCGCGCCCAAATTAGTCTAAGGGCAGTTACATGGTGCCTCTCAATTTTGTCCCTTAATGAATTCAGGGGCCTCATGAACGGACCACGGGGCCACCCCAGGAGTTTTAAGGGTAAGGTAACGTGCTTGTGGGCACCCTAAAGCCTAAACCCTAAACCCCAAACCCTAAACCCTAAACCCTAAACCCTAAACCCTAAACCCTAAACCCTAAACCCTAAGCCATGCAGGAGCACCTTGCATCCTTGGTAGAGGTCGCTGTCGGAGCTCTTCGACCGCCACGTCGAGTGAGGATGACTTGAAGGTTCATGGGTAGTTAGAAGTGGGGTTATTGAGGGTTTAGGGTTTAGGGTTTAGGGTTTAGGGTTTAGGGTTTAGGGTTTAGGGTTGAAGGTTCATGGAAAAGGAGCTGCAATTATGACTGGCGATAACCGTTATAACCGTATTTAGGGTACTTGTAACCCTACTTATAGCTACCCATGAACCTCCGAGTAGGATCTTGAGGGCAGGTGCCGGAAGCGGGGGAAAGCGTATCTTGCCAAGGCGGTTGGCTTGCGACATGCTTCTCCCATCTTCCGGAAACTTCCTGCACATTGTCGTTGAAAGACAATCAACCTAAGCCCTAAACCCTAAAGCCCTAAACCCTAAACCCGAAGCCCAACCACCCCAAAATCCGGTCGATTGCTACGCGAAGATTCAGATCCTGCCTGCATCATGCACGGGGAAGATTTCAGGTACTGTCGCTATGGCTCTCACTCTGTCTAAACTAATTTATCTATCAAGCATATGCAGGATTTTTACTTCTGGCTCCCCCATGGCTGCCTCTTGGACTGTGGGCCCCCCCTTTTTTGGGGGGGTCGTCATGGGCTTGTTAATGGACTCTGGGCTCTGCTCAGTGGGAACTGCCACCGCAGCCCCCCGGTTTTGAGACCGCGAGGATCACTTCGGGCCTGCGTGGCGCGTCAGCGCAGCGAGCAGTGCGTAGAAAAGTCGACAAGTCCGGCAAGAGCGAGTCTCGAAGGAACCCATGCTTCCGAAGTGGCTCTTGGGGATATGATCTCTTGTGCTGAGTGGGCAAAAAACGGACGTCCAGTGCTCTGAATCCAACTGTGCCTTGCGAGCTGCTTGCAGAACACGGGCTGATCCAAGACTCTTCACACCTCTCGCACCTAGACTGGCACATGATCAATTCTCTTCACCTCCGATATCATGGCAGGGGCCCGCCCATTTAAGGTAAGGGACCATGAGGGTTTAGGGTTTAGGGTTTAGGGTTTAGGGTTTGATTGCAGGGAGCCGGCTACACATTGCACTACACAAGAACACACTGCGTGCCTGGACGCCTTGTGGATCAAGCGGAAAGACTTCGCCGCTTCTTTCGCAGGCCGGCTCAGGGGTCTTGTTGGGGGGTTTAGGGTTTGGGGTTTGGGGTTTAGGGTTTCGGGTTTTGGGGGGGGGGGGGGGGGGCACGCCAACCATCAGCAGAGCTGCTGGGATATGGTGAGCTTTTGAGAATTGACAGGTTAACCCCAACCGAACCGCGACATTCCGAAAATGATGATGTTAGTCCGACCGGCATGTCTTAAAGGAGGCTTGTCCCGGAGCATCCTTGCTCTGAAATGGAGATGCAGCGGGAAATTGTGTCGATCCATGTGGCACAGATTGGTAGGGCCCTAGTGCTGACGAGGGCAATTCTAGGCCATTCTCTAAGTTGTTGAGACCTCACCTAGACGCTTTTTTCCGCTTCCCAAACCCTAAACCCTAGAACCTAAGCCCTACTGCCAGGTGATCCTCATCCCCTTCCTGGGCCACGTGGCCGCCCTGCCGGCCACTTCCTTGCTCCAGGCCGGCGCTGCGTGGGTACTACTTGTTTAGGGTTCAGGGCCGTCTCTTGCATGAGACACATCCAGCATCCTTGTAGAATCCTCATAGACTCCGAGCACAGGCTGGAGCAGAGGAACGAAATGACAGACCGATCTGTTTCAGCACCCCCCCCCCCCCAAGCTTCAGAGGTGACCGTCCAGCTGCAACGCGGCAGCGTGGGAGAGTGCCGCACTCAAGTAGGGTTTAGGGTTTAGGGTTTAGGGTTTAGGGTTTAGGGTTTAGGGTTTAGGGTTTAGGGTTTAGGGTTTAGGGTTTAGGGTTTAGGTTTTCAAGTAATTAGGGTTTCAAAAGCTGGTGGGGTTTAGAGACTGGGCCTGTGTGATGCTGCTGCGAATATGTTTGAAGCTGAGTGGCTGAGCTGTATGCAAGGCTCGCGCCATCGACCATGGATGCAGCAGCGAGCCCTGTCATGTGTGCCACGTCTTGCTGGCAGACACTTCCTGCACCTCCTCACGCTTCGACGCGGTTTAGGGTTTGGGGTTTGGTGTTTAGGGTTTAGGGTTTAGGGTTTAGTGTAGCGCCATGTGTTGCATTTGCTGAGGCTGGTGATGCTGTGAACGCCAGCGAAAGCAGCGATCTCAGGAAAGTTCGGGCGCGCGCGCGCGCGGCTGCTGCGGGCTTTGCGGCTGTACTTGAAGGTTCATGGGTAGTTGTAAGTGGGGTTATGAGTAGGGTATCTATGCTTATAACTGGTGATAACCTTATTTAGGGTACTTCCAGGCCCCCTAAAGCCTAGACCCTAAACCCGAAACCCGAAACCCTAAACCCTAAACCCTAAACCCTACTTCGAATTACCCATGAGCCTCCAAGTAGTCGCAGCAATCACGATGACCGCAGATTTCCAGCTCAGGGCATCCGGTCCTCCTCGAGGTCCCGACTCCAAGACAGGCCAAGGCCTCAAAGGGTTTAGGGTTTAGGGTTTAGGGTTTATAGGGTTTATAGGGTTTATAGGGTTTATAGGGTTTATAGGGTTTAGGGTTTAGGGTTTAGGAGCGGATGAGGGCAATTGTGTGATACGCAGCAGACTTGGTACCCTAAGGCCCTAAAGCCTCAAGCATCCTAAACCCTAAGCCCTATTTTTTTTTTTTTTTTTTTTTGGGGGGGGGGGGGGGGGTTGGGGGGTTCTGAATTTGGTTCCTTTTTGTTATTGGCTTTGTTTTTGCAATCCGGAGCCCTTTAATTTTGGTTGAGGGTTTAGGGTTTATCGATGGCCCGAGACCCGAAACGACAAATCGGCCCAGAATTTAAAGAGTCCCCCCCCCCCCCACATCTGCCAAGAATGGTCTTGCGTTTGTCGCCAGGCCTGCGAAGGCTGCCCCCAGGCAGGGCCTTGGGTACCAGAACAGTATTTCTGTACGTTACCTCTCTCTCTACATATACACATATAGTAGGTAATTATATTTATATACATGTTATACACATATGTATGTATATACATATTGATGTACATATGTGTACACACACATATACGTTCGCATACATGCGTATCTATGCACCTGTGTACTTGTTTTGTCATTTGTATGGTTATGACAGTTTTGGTTCGATGACTGTCGGTTCGAGCATATAGTTGTATATAGAATCTATACATATACACACATACATACATACGCATACATACATACATATGTATATATATATATATATTTATTTATCATGGAACATAAATGTCATTCGGAACATGTTTCTTTATTTATTATTCATGTACATCAGACATTCTGTTGATACAGACTAGAATATATACGTACATATATATATATATATATGTATATATATACATACATATATGTATATGCCACTTCCCCATCTAATGAATTACTCCGCAACACTAGATCCTTATACCAGGACCACCCCCCCCCATTCAAAAACATAATAATAACAACCAAATAAACAAATATAATAACATAATGAAAATAAATAACATGTGTATAATTTAAAGATATTCATACAATAGTACCAGCAGAAAAGTACGCCTATTTTGGCCAACCCGATCTGATCAGGCATCTGGTACCAGGAGGGGGAAAGGGCTGGGACGGTGCACACGCAAGACCTACCCTGCCCCTAAACCTCGACCCCGAAGTCCATATCAGCCAAGGTTTAGGGTTTAGGGTTTAGGGTAACCCACTACAACTATTTGTGCGGCACAGAAGGAGAGCTTGTGTATATATATATATATATGTATAAATATAATAAACAGAGAAATACAAATGAATATACATATGTATATATATATATATATAAATTCAGAGGCCTCAGATGACGAGCTGGACATGCTAGATGCAGTGGAGGACTGCTGAATCGGTAAGCAAAGATTCGCCGGGTGCCTTCTGCAGAGCTGAGGTTACCGGACTACATAGGGTTTGCTTGGGTTTGGGAGGGTTGGGGTTTGGGGGTTCTTCTAGTGGTGTGCCTGCTTTATGCTCCCCATACACCTACGTCCCCAGGTCTCGCCGGAGTTAGCGGACTACCCAGAGTTTCTTTCATGCGCATCAGGGGGTTACACTGCCATGACGTCTTACGTAGAGCCTTGCGCTCTAAACCCGTAAACCCTAAAACCCTAAGCCTAAACCCAAAAGCCCTACACCCTAAACCCCCAAATTAAACCCTGAAACCCTAAAATCCTCTCTAAACCGTAAAACCCTGACAGCCTAAACATGATAAGAGACCTGTTAGAAAATCCATGTGATAAAATTGGGAAGTTATTTTAGTAGAATGTTTAATTTATTTAACAGACCCCTTTCCTCAAAGTGGCGGAGCACGAGCCGGTGCAGGGGGCCTCCCCGAGTCCAAAGCTGCAGTTTAATCAGGTGTACATCATCAATCAAGGGTTTGGGGTTTAGGGTTTAGGGTTTAGGGTTTAGGGTTTAGGGTTTAGGGTTTAGGGTTTAGGGTTTAGGGTTTAGGGCTGTTTCGGGTTTAGGGTTCTTTCCTTACGGGGCTCTTCGCCCTTGACTGCGAGGAGCGCGAGCAGGACGAGATGGCGGCCTTAGCCTCCCAGGCTTCGCCAGCACGGGTTTAGGGTTCAGGGTTTAGGGTTTAGGTTTTGGGGTTTCGGGTTTAGGGTTTAGGGTTTCGGGTTTCGGGTTTCGGGTTCATGCAGTGCCCAATGTTCCAACTCCTGGCGCCCCTGAGGCCAAGGTCTCCTTGCTGCAGACGAGCCTCGAGCACCAGCACGGCCCGATGAAGGCTCAGGCGGGAGCAAGTCTTTCTGGATCGGAGCACAGCTGGTCTTCTCGCAAGGGAGATTGGGATTTGGAAGAGCCGTTTTGCAAGGTTTTGGGGTTCGGGTTCATGGGGTGCATCCCCCTCCCTCAACACTCAACCCTCAACCCTAAACCCTGAACCCTGAACCCTAAACCCTAAGCATCAACCCGTAGAACCCTAAACCAACTAACCCAAATCCTAAGCCCGCAAGCCTGACCTCAGGCCTGGGCCGAAGCCCACCCATGAACCTCACAGGGGAACAGAGGGGCAAGCCTGTAGCCGCAATTTTCAAGGCAACCCTAAACCCTAAACCCTGACCCCTAAATCCAAAACCCTAAACCCTACACCCTCGCCCTAAACTCAAAAGGGGTTTCCGAAGGTACCTTATGGGGGTCCGTATTGACAAGTGCATCCTACTAGTTGGGGTCCATTTTCGGGGTCCCTGATTATCGTAACCCCCACCATGACCACAAACCCTCCATGCACAGCTGGTGTGGTTTAGGGTTCAGGGTTTAGGGTTTAGGGTTTAGGGTTTAGAGGGTTCATAGGGCACAAGATGGAGCTTGCACACCCGAGGAGATTGCTCATCTCCACGCCAGTGGAATCGATGATGCAGACGAGGCCAAGACATATTCCACCTCAAGCGTTGCAGGATTCCACCCACGTGGGTTCAAGGTTTAGGGTTTGGGGCTTAGGGTTTCGGGTTCAGGGGCTCATGCCGAGAGTCCTACGGACACAACCCCCCCCCCCCCCCCCCCCTCACTCTGCCCCTCTGTTCCAGAATAGGCATGATCGGTGCCGTGGCGGGACACGCCCTAAATAGCCCCAAACAAGAAGACCCCTGTTGGCCATTGCTGGGCTGAGTACCTCTTGCCTACTTTGTGGGAGGGGACTCGAAACCCTATAAATAGCCAAACCCGAAGCCCGAAATGCCAAAACCCTGTTCAGGCCTTGGCGCTTCTTGATGCTGCCCATGACCTGGGCATGTGATGCGCTTGACGGCAAATTCCACAGAAGCGAATTAAAGCCGCACAAACTCTGAAGAACCGCTGGGCCCCTTGTAAGGACCAGTTTAGGGTTCAGGGTTTAGGGTTTAGGGTTTCTGGTTTAGGGTTTAGGGTTTAGGGTTTGTTGCAGAGCCCCCTCACAAGCCCATGAGCAAGTCGCCGTGGGATGATGCCAATGCCATTGCGGGGGGCATGAAAAAAAGCATCCTGCATCTTCCAGGACTGCTTGATCGCCAGGATCTGTGTGCTTTAGGTGCTTGCTAGGCTGACCTTTACCATGGACTGGCTCCCGTTGCAAAAGATGCCCGGCACCACGAGGTCGCACGTCGGTTTTAGGGTTTAGGGTTTAGGGTTTAGGGTTTAGGGTTTAGGGTTTAGGGCATCCTCAGTCAAGATTCGGAGATTGCTGTTGCCACGTCAGAGCCATTCGGAACCTTCAGCCGTGACTCAGCAGCTTCTCAGTGTGAACTGAAGTGGGAAGAGTTGTCAGATTCGGACGTGATTGCCACAGGTGGCGGCTTTAGCGGATGTTGCTCTATGATGCTATTTCCTACCGGCACTGAACGGGACTCACTTGCCGTCAGAGTCGGGGGGTGGGGGTGGGGGTCGCGGGCTCTCCGCAACACAATCAAAACAACCAACTGGGCACAGCCTGGGGTGGTCCAGCAGCCTCAAAGAGTTACCCTCATACTGGTGATAGACACAATCAGAATCACAAAGAGTGCCTACCCCACACTCTAACCCTAAACCCTACACCCTAAAACCTACCCTAATCCCTAAACCCTAAACCCTAAAACCCTAAACCCTAAACCCTCAACCCCTGCTCCTGTGGCCATGCTTGGCGACCCTGCTCACCCGGAGAACTCGGGAGAGGCCGCGGACTTTCAGCGGCTCGATGCTCGCTTCCCCTGCTTTAAGCTACCCCTCGGGTAGTTGATGGTTTGGGGTTTAGGGTTTAATTCGGGTTTAGGGTTTAGGGTTGAGGGTTAAGTTGTAGCTCGTGCTTCGGGGAGCTGTGTATAGGTCCGGTAATCCTATGGGCTTTATTCGTAGGAAATCAGGGAAGCAGGAAGGTATATTCCGTAGGGGGATGTCTGGTACCTACCCTTAACCCTAAACCCTAACCACCTAAACCCTAAACCCCAAACCCTAAACCCCAAACCCTAAACCCTAAACCCGATGAAGCCCTGGTGCCCTTGAAGGAGAAGGCCAGCGTCGAAGTGCCCACTGTGGGCCACCTGGGAGATTTGACCCTGTGCGTGCTTGAGGGGGTTTAGGGTTCAGGGTTTAGGGCTTAGGGATTAGGGTTCAGGGTTTAGGGCTTAGGGTTCAGGGCTTAGGGTTCAGGGCTTAGGTTCAGGGTTTAGGGTTTAGGGTGTAGCCGTGCCGTCGGCAGAGGCCTCGCCGCAGAACCTGGCGCGAGTTCAGGAGGTCGGCCCGCTTTAAGCCCCCATTCCCTAAGCCCCTAAGCCCCTAAACCCTAGCCCTAAACCCTAAACCCTAGCCCTAAACCCTAAACCCCTAATCTGGGCTCGACATCGTAACATTCAATGTAACCCCAACAAGGACCCAGCAATCCCCTAACCCCCTAGGCCAAACCCCTAAGCTACCCCCAGCCCCAAAGTTAATAGGGTTGAGGGTTTGGGGTTTGGGGCTTTGGGGTTTAGGGTTTAATCTTAAACCCCAAAGCCCATCCAAAGCCCTAAACCCTAAACCCTATTCCCTCTCGGCCCGAACTTTGAAGTACGAGCCGCAGAGTCTCAGAACCCGACTCTGCGCGAAGTTCGCCGTGCTCCTGGCCTCATGTTCGGGGCTTCCGAAAGCAGGGTTTAGGGTTTAGGGTTAGGGTTTAGGGTTCAGGGTTCAGGGTTCAGGGTTTAGGGTTTAGGGTTTAGGGTTTAGAGTTGGGGCTCCTATAGTAAGGATTGTACTCTTTCTTAGGGGGTTGTAATTTGATGAAGTATTTCATGGGTACTTTTAAGTAGTGTTTTTTTTGTACCCGGCCCTAAATAAGGTTATAACTTACAACCAGTTATACTTATTATAATTACAGTTACCCTACTTGAAACCCTAAACCCTAAACCCTCAACCCTAAACCCTAAACCCTAAGTTACTAAGCCCTAAACCCAAAAACCCTCAACCCTAGCCCTAAACCCTAAACCTTAAACCCTAAACCCTTCAAGTAGGTCTTGCAATGCATCTTCGAGTTCTACGCCTGTCGCGGTCTTACCTGCGGCTGCGTGCTGGCGATGAAAACGAACAAGTCTAAACCCTTTATTGACCCATTCATCTATATATGTATATATGTATATATGTATATATGTATATATGTATATATGTATATGTATCTATGTTATAATATTAATGTGTCTCTCTGTTATGATATTACGATGGTTTAGGGTTTAGGGTTTAGGGTCACGACTGATCAAATTCATTGTCAGGCGCAGAGGATCGGCACGCAATGATTTTGCAGAGTGTATGGTGTAGGCATATATGGTTACTTCAGGCAAGACTTGCAGTAGCTTGCACGCACGTCTTGCATTTTGCTAAGCCAAGTTGAAAGACACATGTTTTTGGGATCCTTTCGGCTACATGAGTTGTGGCCGCGGCCTTGTATGTTGTAGAAAGAGCCACGCCGCAAATAGCAGTGTTTCCAAATTACCAAAGAGACTTTGAATTAGGCCCTCCAAACCCTCAAATAACAGGAACCCTCATGTGACTTAAGGTATATTCCTTAATTAAGGGGTTTTGGAGTCTCTGGGTTCGGGCAGTCGGGCATGCTCGGAACTGGCATGAACAGTGTTGTCGAGTCGGGCGTTGAAGCTCGGGAAGTGCTTCGACGTTGCAAGGTCAAGGCACCACAGCGCTGCAGGAGCCCAGGCAGGTTTGTTAGGGTTTCGGGCTTAGGCCTTAGGGCTTATAGGGCTTGGGGCGTAGGGTTTAGGGTTTAAGGTTGAGGGTTCAGGGTTTAGGGTTACGGTTTAGGGTTTATTGGGTTTAAGGTTTAGGGTTTAAGGTTACGGTTTAGGGTTTATTGGGTTTAAGGTTTAGGGTTTAAGGTTTAGGGTTTAGGGTTTAGGGCATGTGCGAGGCTCCACTGCGCCAGGAAGGCGTCAACATGTGATCTGAATATGGGGGGATATATCCCGCACTAGGGGTATGGTTCCTTTTTTTTGGGGGGGTGCTGGGTTAGGGGGTCCCACAGTAAGGACTAACTACATGGTGTTTTGGTGGTATATTCGGGGCATCCCTCTTGTTCGGGAAGTCTCCGTAAGTCTGCACTGTCTGCACAGGCTCACCAGCGCACGCTTCACGCGAATGGCGCCGGTCTCGGAGGGTGCCGTTGTTTGCCGTTGAATCCATAAGCACGTTTCGGGTTTAGCTCTCCTGCGTTGATGCCGCTTGAAGGCAATGGACGCAGCGCTCCTGGATGAGCGGCTGACACCAGCAAAGGCGCCAAAGCAACCCGAGTTGCGCGAATGGTTCAGCAGACCCACAGGTCCACGGACTTAGGATCCATGATGGAATCTGTGCTCCAAATGCATCAAGATACAATTCAGTATGGCTGTTGCGTGTCTAAATCCGTAAGGAGTACTGGACCCTCTGGGGATATGTCCGGCCAAAACAGGTCGATGTCACATTCAGCCGCGTGCGGCCGGCTGCGTTGCTATTCTGAGTCTGGAGCACTCAGTCTATAGTTGTTTAGGGTTTTAGGGTTTAGGGGTTTTTTGATTTAGACGCACGGGAATTGTTCTAAGCGGAGTATAGCAGTATCATGGTCAAGACTACATTGAGGTAGGGTTGATGTTACTGTTTGGGTGTAGGGCTTCTCATGAGCATCTTGTGTGTGTCCTTGCGGGGGATACTAGTCAACTTCCCGCCTCAGCGGAAGCCGCGCGCGTGCGCCAGGTGTGCGGAAGCTCGCCTCACATGCTGCTCACACAGTTTCGTGACGCCATGGTCCGCCTCGCGGCCATCAAGTACCCCTCTCTGCCAAGACCAGAGGCCTTGAGTCGAAGACGCTACTCACGGTGAGTAGGACCCACCCTTGAGCATCTGAACATGCTTTGAGCAGCTGCGGATCCCTAAACCCTAAACCCTAAGCCCTAAGCCCTAAGCCCTAAACCCTAAACCCTAAACCCTAAGCCCTAAACCCTAAACCCTAATCCCTAATCCCTAATCCCTAAACCCTAAACCCTAAACCCTAAACCCTAAACCCTAAACCCTAAAGAAAGAGTGTGCCGCAGGCAGTGATGCAGCTTTTCCAGAAGCACTTGGCCACATTCCAGGGCACGACCAAAGGCCAGGTGAATACTTGGAGGCTGTTTAGGGTTTAGGCTTCAGGGCTCATGGGTACTTAGAAGTCGTGTTCTACTTCGGGTAGCCATGGTTATAATCTCAATTTAGGGTACCTATAACCCCCACTATATAATTACCCATGAACCTTCAAGTATCGGGCCTTCAGGGGCATTTTTCGTGTTGAGGGAAGCAGCAGAAATGCGGCCCTAAACCCTAAACCCTAAACCCTAAACCCTAAACCCTTTGGGAGGAGTCGTGGCCGAGCTGGATCCAGCTGTGCTCGCCCTCCTTGGGGCTGCCAGGTCACGAGCTTGGAGCCACCGCAGAAAGCAAATGGGACCAAGATGGATCTGAAACCCTGAACCCTGAACCCTAAACCCTAAACCCTAAACCCTTGCTTCTCGGGCAGCTTCTGTCGGCTCTCAGCATGGAAGGCCGATGACTTCGTTGAACCACCGGAGCCCCCCCACCTGCCAGAACAACCCCGGCCGGGGGCAGATGACTTCTTGCAACACAAGCCTCAGCCCTAAACCCTAAACCCTAAACCCTAAACCCTAAACCCTAAACCTTCAAAACAACCAATGCAACTGTAGATACCTGATGCACACTGTCCGACGACCACTTGGCGCAACTCCTGCTCGTTATCATGGCTGCCCTGGACGCGCACCGATCCTCGATGCCAAATACAGTACTAAAGTTACGACGTTGATTCGTTGTAATTGGTGTCTGAGGAGGGTCTGCAGAATGATTTCTGTGGAAAATCTGTGTCCAACGTGTGCTCCTAAAGAGCAGTAGTGCTTTGAATGGGCTTTCAATCTGCGGAAAATGTTTGAATATTCCGTGAACAATATGTGGCCTGCGGGTTTGTTGGTCTGAGAATCTGTCGAAATCTGCAAGAAACCTGTAGAATATCCTGTGGACAAACTGGGAAAGATTCTGTGTCCAATCTGTGGCTAAAAACAAAATCTCAACGTTGTCCCCACGCCTGGCCCGACCACCCTCAGAATCTCACTGTTCTAAGGGGGGCCACAGATTTTTCCATAGATTTTGGGATTCGGCTGGGCTGGAAAAGCTGTGGCCTCAAAATCTGTGAAAAATCTATGTCCGCCCTGGGAGCTGCTCCTGGCCCAGACCTTTGTCAATATCTCACAGGCCAGAACAACCACGAAAGCGACATGGAACATATCCAAAAGACACGTAAGAAAAATCACAGACGAAGCGCAGAATTCAGAACCAATGTTTCTGCTAAAACAACAGGACCAGGAATGGACCGCAAAAAAGCCCGAAAGCAAACACAACGCAGACGCTTGCTACAAACACACTTTATAGCACAGACAACCTGCAAAATAAATACTCTTGAAAATCCCAGACTTTGAAGTTCAACTTGCCAGGCACTCATACTCACAACCATGGAGTCCGTTGAACCGCCTGCTGCACGAAAAAAACTGCAGTGGCTCCACTGGCTGGTTCTTAGTAGAGCATGAGGGACTTAGAGCCCTACAAACTCCCTCACAGGGTATATGAGCATATATATATATATATATATATAAGCATATATATATATATATACACATATTATATTATATATATACATATTATATTATATTATATATAGAAGTGGCCCTCATTCCCTCCTTCCCTACTAGAAGAGCCAGGGGCTCAAAGGGGGCGTCTTTGCGGCCACTAAACCCTAAACCCTAAACCCTAAACCCTAAACCCTAAACCCTAAACCCTAAACCCTAAACCCTAAACCCTAAACCCTAAACCCTAAACCCTAAACCCAGAACAGCCCGGATCAGGAACCACCTTGAAGTTCGTGGATCCCGAGTCCTTCATGGAGCAGGCTGGGACATCCCTGTGCCTTACTCTTGGGGGTTCAGGGGTAGTTGTAGGGTTTAGGGTTTAGGGTTTAGGGTTTACGGGTTAGGAGTGTAGGGTTTAGGGTTTAGGGTTACAAGTACCCTAAGTAAGGTTTACAACCAGTAATGGGTATAGCTACCCTATACCTATAACCCCTTCAAGCAACCCTAAGCCCAACACCACGACGTGGGACATGCCGGGAGACTGTGAAACCCCTAAACCCTAAACCCTAAACCCTAAACCCTAAACCCTAAACCCTAAACCCTAAACCTGGGATGTCCCGGCTTATTGAAGGTTGCAGCCAGCTGCGGTCTCTCGGGAATGCTTGCAAGTGATGCGCTCGTTCTTGCTGATACAGGTTGCCTGGTTGCTCATAAAGCCTAAACCCCTAACACCCAAAAACCCAAAAATCTAAACCCCCCAAGACTGTAAACTTTGTAGCCCTGCCATAGTCTTTTGCCCTTTTTTGCTTTCAAGCTTCCCTTGTCAAGTAACCAGCCCCAAAAAGGATACCGAAATATTCGAATATGGTTACTGCACTACCAAGAAAGCCCCCTGACTCTCAACCCGAGATCCCTAGCCCTAAACCCTAAACCCTCAACACCCAAAACCCTAAAAACCATCAAAAACCTAAACCCCTAACAAAAAACCCTGACTCCCTTGGGCCACTTTTCCGGAGGAGCTTTGGTGGCACCTGGCGAAGACCTTCGTCGCCCCCCCACCCAGCACCGTGGCGGAGCTCGAGCCGATCAAGCAGCGCATGCGCCGCCCGGTTGAGAAGGGTTTAGGGTTTAGGGTTGAGGGTTTAGGGTTTAGGGTTTGGGGTTTGGGGGGGGGGGGGGGGGGGTTTAGGGGGGGGGGGGGGGGGGGGGGGGGGGGGGCTTTAAGGTTTAGGGTTCTTTTGGGTTTAAGTTTAGAGCTTAGGGTCGGGGTTTGGAGGTTCAAGGGTTTAAGGGATTTGGGGTGTTAAGGTTTAGGAGGGTCGGGGCTTTAGGAGGTTTAAGGGGGTTAAGGGTTTCAGGGCTTTGGGATTGGATGCTTCGGGGGTGAGCTTCGTGTGGGTGGTGTATGGTGTCGCTGTAGAGCTGTTATGAAATCAAAAACGGCACGGGTGTGAGGGTTTAGGGTTTAGGGTTAAGGTTTAGGGATAAGCTGAGATTGCTGAGGTACGGATCGCAGCTACGCATTGACGATTCTGCGGGATGTTGCGAAATGCAGCTACAGCTGGCAGATGACGCAGTACCTGAGCCAGGTCACCTGCCCTTGCAAACCCATACCCTAAACCCTAAACCCACAAAATCACCTCCTCATTGCTTCCTCGGCTATAATGAGGGATACCTGTAGCTGAACACATCGCTGGTGTGCGATATCACAATGGTGATCATTTGGTAGTCTAAGTATAGCTAGCCCTAAACCCTAAACCCTAAACCCTAAACCCTAAACCCTAAACCCTAAACCCTAAACCCTATCCCGAATGCATGAGGGGGTGTCTCCCGTGCAGAGGAGCTCAAGGATGACAGAAGCATGGCAGCACAGGGGCTCAGGGTTTGGGGTTTTAGGCTTTAGGGTTTGGGGTTTAGGGTTTGGGGTTTAGGGTTTAGGGTTTAGGGTTTAGGGTTTAGGGTTTAGGGTTTAGGGTGATTTCTCGGAAAGGTGGCCAGTAATTACTGAAGTACGGACCTCCTAATCGTAAACCTGGCGTTCGGAGTTCAGGGTTGCACCTGCGCAATGACACGGCAAGCTTTGCGTGGCCAACACAGAGTGTCGCAGGCCTTTTTCCTCCTGCGCAGTTTCGCGCGGGTGCCTGAAACCCCAAGCGCTGAGTCCTAAACACCCTGCCCTGCAATGGTTTAGGGTGTAGGGTTTTGTCATGACCTTCTCGACCAAGCAGCAACCAGCGGCCAAGGGGACATTTTTCTGGCGGCAATCAGCCAGCCCGAAGGCCGTGCAAGACTTGCAAGTTTTTTTTTTTTTTTTTTTTTTTTTTTTTTTTTTTATGGGGGGGGGGGGCGAACAGAACAACAGAATGATATGACAGTAGACCAGAAAACGAGATAACTCCTAGTATAGGTTTTAGGGTTTATGGGGCTTGGGATCATGGGCTACTCGAAGAACTCAGCTCACAACCCTTTCATTCATAGATGGCCCTAAACCCTAATTAAACCCTAAACCCTGAACCCTGAACCCTGAACCCTAAACCCTAAACCCTGCAGTGCACAGGCTGGAAGTGCTTGAAGTTTGCTTCGGAGCTCCTTGCCACCGCAATTGGTTTGAGAGTCGGGGGAAAGTTGCAATTGAAGAAACGAGAGTCCAGGATTCGCTGTGGGAGAAGTCGACGGACCCCGGCAAACCGCATGGAGTCATAAGGGTAGTTCTCTAAATTGGGTCACCTTTTGAGATCCCTTTTAAAGGGTGCCGCCTTATAATATAGGCACCCAAAAAGGAACCCCAATCTAGGAAACTACCCATAATCGCCCCAAGCCTCGTAAGTCCTACAAGCGCTACTTCAATACCCTGTGACCCTGAAGCAATAGTTCAGTGTCCGGATTATTAGCAGTGCCTCGCCATCACCATATTTAGGGCTCTTATAACCCCACGTAGAAGTACGTACCCATGAACCTTCAAGTATGATGTTCCCGTATATCTCACTTCAGGACTGTTCGTGACGACGCCGTCGTGTGCCATGAGGCGCAACATAGTACATGATAGGCTCATCTCAGCACTACTTGTACTTGGAGGTTATGGGTAGTTCCAAGTAGGGTTATCAAGTACCCTAAGTAAGGATAGAACCAGCGAAGTATACTTACCCTACCTATAACCCCACTTATAGCTACCCATGAAGCTTCAAGGACAGTGTAGACATGTATATGTATATATATATATATGTATATATATATATATTAGGGGTAGCTTATTGGGGTCGTCATTATTAGGGGACCCTACCATTTGGTGGTCTATCTGGGGTCCCGTATTTACGTAAAACCCCAAGGGTTCTCGAAACAGGGGTACCCTTTGTCGGGGTCCCTTTAAAGGGGATTCTATTTGGGGTATAAAAGGGGGGTACCCCTATTTTGGGAAATGCCCTGATATATTTAGGGTTTAGGGTTTAGGGTTTAGGGCAACTATATTATAGTGGGCCTCCAGAGGCGGTTTCGAGAAACGTCGCTGCCTTGGAGTACATCGCGAACCGTTTTCGCCGTGACGGCTGCTTGCTTGCAAGCTATAAACCCCAAATTCTAAACCCTAACCCTGAACCCAACACCCTAGACCCTGGACCCTAAACCCTAAACCCTAATCCTCAATCTTTGCTCTTCATTTTTCTCACTGTGCCATGAGAGGCAGAATCCTCTCCCTGTGGCTGTCTATGGCGGTGCAGAAAGCGAACCAAAGGCTCGACGCTCGGCATCGTGTTGAGGTGACTTATGATACATTGTTTGGGGTT